CTAACAACAACAGGTTACAAAATATCCTGTTGACTTGGCCCAAGCTCTGATAGAAATGCCTTCTTCCTCATCCTCCAGCCCACCCTAGCCCACAAAAGAAGAAATTAAACTCTGCTATGTATACATTCGGGTTTAAGTTGTAAATCATCTGCATGCTTATTGAAGTCACAATGTAGGCAATTATTCTCAAATGGCCATGAATTTGAAACACCTTTCAGAAATAAAACAAATCTTTTCCCTAGGAATCTTCCCCTGAAGTATCTCTGAAAACCCACCATTTATAAGACAAATATAAGCACAAAATCTAATAGATAAGTATGGAAAGCCGCAATTGTAAAATGTCAGCAAAAATAGCAGAGTTAAGTCCCAACAACTTTACAGATGGAGTTACAATTTAAAAAGATAAAAATTCAATCAAAAACCAAAAGATTATTTGAAAAGATCTTGGAGATTTTCAAAGAGTAAGATAGATGTTTAAGAAAAATATGCAGAATATAAAAATTCAATAGACAGGTAAAAGAGCATATTGAACAAGTTGATAAGAGAATGAATAAATTTTTTGTGTGTTGGTTTTCTTTTCTTTTTTTATTGAGGTAACATTAGTTATAATACTGTATATGATTCATAGTTACAACATTGCACCTTCTTCAGATGAATATTACCATGCTGCATCTTTTATAATCAGGGAAATAGAAATCAAAACCTCAATGAACTCCTTGTACATACATCCTTACCCACATGCTCAATTATTTTTTTATGACAAATTCCTATGATCAAACTTTGCTATACATTTTTTCAAGGAGTTCATTGACGTATTTTTTTATATTAACAGAAATATCTATTAATATAGTTAAAGCACATTTATATATTTCAGTACTATGCACATCTTAAAAACAGAGATATTGCTATATTTTATTTTGATGGAACAATACCCAAAATATATGTAGGGAAAAAAAAGACTAAAATTACATCCATTAAATGTGAATGATGGTTAAAAAAACAAACAAAAAAAACCCTCAATGAGATACTAACTGACATCTGTGATAATGACCCATATTAAAAAGGCCAAAAACAGTACTGATTGCAGATGTGGAGACAAAATAACCTCTCTTACACTACTGTTGGGAAGGCAGACTACTCTTATGGAAAAGCGTATAGAGGCTTATCAAAACATTAGAAATGGTAGATCTCTACCAATTTGTTAGATCTTTATGGTGTGGATCTTTACCATAAAATCCAGCAACTCTACTAGTAGGTATCGACACAAAGAATGCAAAAAAACCAATTTGAAGGTCTATATGCGCTCCTATATTCATTACCACACTATTTATAATACTCAAGTTGCAGAAGCAACCTCAGTGTTCAAGGGCAGGTGAGTGAATTAAGATATGGCATATATATACAATAGCATACTAGATGCATATAAAAATATCGGATGGTTTCACTTACATGTGGAATAGAGAGAAACAAAACAATGGGTCAGACAAAGCCAGATCAAAAACAAACCCTAGAAATGTGGCTGTAAAAACTGAGGTTACCACAAAGGGGTGGAGAGCCAGGGGGAAAGGAAGTCCAATGGACTATGGTGAAACTACAATTTCAAGAAACAAAAATTGAAGAGGTCAGAGAAAAGGCAGCTTATCAATCAAAGATACAGTTATCTTGACAGTAGATTGTTCAAGCGCATTAATATACACCAGAAGATGATGGGATGCTTTTTAAAATTTTGTGAAGTAACTATCAACTTTAAACTATCAATCATTTGAGAATACTGAAAAAAATAAGATATTTTCACCAATAAACCTGCAATTTTAAACAAAATAAAACAAGAAAATTATTGATAAATTCAGTATAGTGGGTAAGTCTGGATTTGGAAAAAAATGAAGGCTATGCAAAGAACTTAAACCTGTATTTGTTATGTATTTTCAAACTACTTGTTGGATCATCAATGATTATTGTGTCAGGCAACACCACACTGATAAACGGGAGTCATGGAGCAGGCTGCACAATGCAGGATGCCACTGAACAAGCATCAGTTACGTGGGGTAGGAGGACAAGGAGAAAAAGGGATGGGCAAAACTAAAGAATGTGTTTTTGTCATCTAGGTCTTGGGGGGACATGAGTCTGCTGACCAGATAATTGTTACCTGCTTGATGACCAGTGTTGTAATCGAACCATACCCCAGACCCCAGGCCATGGTTCCAATCATATCAACAAGGCATTCCACTGATCAGCTTCTGGGGTCCTGTAGCAGAAGAAGGGCACAGTGCAGGTTTTCTATGACCCGAGCAGATGGGTGAGAGAGTCCTGGAGCCCTCCGTGGCTTTTATTGCCATTTTATTGCCATTATTGCTTTTATTGCCGTGGCTTTTATGCATTTTACCAGGTTCACGGCAGGCAGAGGTATGGGAGGCCAGTAGGTTGGCAGGCCTCCTAGTCCCCGGCAAATCTTAACTCTTTCTGGGCTCTTTCTCTGGCATTATCTTGTGGTCTCGTTCTTTCTTCTGCTGGTTCTGTTCTGCTCTCTCCTGTTCTCCTCATCTGTTCTGCTCCTTCCCTCTGACACCACCCTTATAAGCCCAGTCTCAGCCCAGGTGTACCCACCTACATATGCCCGCACCCCACTCCGGGCATCCATCAGGCATGCATTCAGGACAGCAGGGATCCATCATCAACCCTAATGGTGGGAGGGAAGGAAAACCTGACATTTACCCTACAGGTCTCTTGTCATACATCAGTCCTCTGCCCTTGGGGAGTTTCTGGTCATACCTCATGAAGCATACCCTTCCCAGGGTGATCAAGCTTTATGCTCTTGATTTGAAAGGCAACTTGTAAGGTTTGGCTCCTGCACTGTGCCCTTCCTTCTGCTACATTTGACTGATTGACCAGTTTCTGCAGGTCAGTTCTGACCTTTGCGTAGGAATGCAGAACTGCAGGTAACAATAATGGTGGCCCAACAGGCCACTTAAGTTTAGCAGACCCACAAATGATTGTCACGTAATTCTCTATAGAATTTTATTTGAGACTGTAGTGCCAGGAAGGCACAGTGCAAGATCTATATGATCTGAGCACATGCGTGAAGGAGTCCTGGCACCGTCAGTAGCTTTTACAGGTTTTTTTGGGATTTACAGGTTCACAGCAGGCAGGGGTGCTGGAGGGCCAGGAGGCTGGTAGGCCTCTTAGCCCCCAGAAAATCTTCATTCTGTCTGGGCCCTCTGGAATTCTCTGGTGACCTCTGCTTCTCTGCCGGCTCTCTTCCAGTCTCTCTCTTGTTCTCCTGGTAGTTCTTTTGTTCTGCTGTTTCACTGGTTTCCCCGTGATGCCACCCTTATAGGCCCAGTCTCTCAGCCCAGGTGTACCCACATACATATGCCCACACCCTACTCCAGGTGCCCGCCATCAGGCATGCATTTAATCTAATGGCAGGAGGGCGAAAAAGCCTGATATGTTTTTACTTACCCTACAGAGACTTCAAAATTTTAAATGATTATTATAGGAGAAAACATTGTAGAAACACACAGTAATAAATGACAATTTTAGAAGAATTGAAAGGAAAAAAATAAAAACAAGAAAATATAGTAATTTGAATTTAGTGCTGAAGTTTCAATTGATAATAAGCATCTGGAGTATTGAAAGTAAATAAATTGAAAACAGGCAAAGGCACATAGAATAATTAACTGAGTTTCAACTACATTGAAACCATAGTTCCCTTAACAAATTCATGTGCAAAGTTAATCTTCCATTGCTCCAGATTAAATTACTACAAAAAGGAGAGCAGATGGATTTCATATGGCAATTTAAAAAAATATCAGATATAAATAAAATTCTTGTCACTAACCAGGAGAGTCTACTGCCAAAATAACAAACATCAGAAAAATCTCAATTTTCTTTTACTTCATTATTGTTATATTAAAAAAAAAAACACTTATGTTAATGAAGTAGTACCACATCTGAATATCAATGCTGAAAAATTGTGAATGCAGAATTTTCGGGAGGTATCATCTCTTAACTTGAAAAAAATTGTAAACAAAATGTAAGAAAGATATGGGGTAGTATTAGACATAGACATTGAAGAAGTAATTGATATATTAGTACAAATAGATATATCAATACCAAAATTAACATCTGATAGGCAAACTGTACCTTAAATTTCAAGTTTTAAAAAACATTTGCAAAACTCTGCTTTACCTATCTGCTTATGTACATGTATTTTTATACATGTAGTTGATATAATAGCATTTGGCTAACCTGACCAGAGAATATGTTTTCTTCTCTGGTGGTACTTAATTTGTTGATTTTTGTTTATCTTGATCACACAAGACCCAGTGTATCAAGGGCCTACTGTCAAGAGGTTAACAGAGATAAAGCTAAGCCTCTATTCCCATCAAGTATGAGCTAGGAAAAATAATACTATAGACTATAGCAGCATGGAAATGAGTCGACATTGACAAAAAATGGGTAGAAGAAAGAAAATTAAAACAGTAATAGGAAAATTTTAACCACAAGTGAAACTACAGACCCCCACCTTGGGGCTCCAGCAGTTGGCCCCAGAGTGCTACTTGCTGGCAGGCCAGGTGCTGCACATTTATTGACTAGCCTCCACCCTGGTCCACTGGGGATCAAGCTACAGGTAGAAGGCAACAGTGATGGTTTCCCTACCAAGTGGCCCCAGGACATGCAGCCCCACTGGGGCTGCAAAGGCAAAATTGCTTTGTGCTCCAGCCAAGGAGATAATAGCTCTTCCTGCAGCTCCTTTTTCAGGGCTGAAGGGAGGAACATGGGGCCCCACTAGCTGAGCTCCAGTGCTGTGGCTACCACCAGCTTCATGCAGTAGAGAGACCCGTGGATTTGGTGCCTAGCTCGTGGAATGAACTGATCAGGTGTAAGCTATGAACTCATTGGTAAATGGTCCAATCAGCTATAGGAACAAAATGGCTCCAATCAGACTTGTAGGTGAGGGATCCTGAAAGAGGAGATAAGCAGGGCAGGAGCCAGCTTGGGACTCACTGGACGCTCTCAGACTCCCTAGCTCTATGCACTCTTTTCCTGAGATGGACTCTTTCTGGTGTCCAAAGAAATAAGCATCTAGAAGCTGACCTCCCAAGAAGAGAAGCCAAGAAGCACCACAGGGAAGTGAAAAAGCTTTGAGGAGGCTGGGGCCTGTGCCTGCGTCTGCACTGTCTCTAACATTGCTTGAAAGGAGCACCAGGCCCCAGGCCTGGTGTCTCTGAGCTCTCTGTTGTTGGTATGGGCCAATAACTCAAAAAGCTGTAACACTAGTGGCCTGAGGATGGACACAGTCTGCCAATGCTCTCCAACAATGCTGAAGACTACAGGACCTGTGTCAGGTCACCTCTGAGAGCTGTTAATTGTCTGGCACTACCTCCCAGTCCTGTTGCCTCTGCTGCTGTCTTGTCCAGCATCTGGTGCCATCCATCCCAACCTTCAGATTGTTGCTGTGGGCTGTGGCGTCATTTCAGTGACCCCACCTGTGAGCACCTCCAGCTGCAGTGAGTTGGATCCTGGTCTGCTGTTTATGGGCTGCCAGACCCACATTGGTGGGACAGTGCCATCTTGGATAAGCAGCTTTTTGTTTAAGACTTTTGGACACTGTGGACACTAACTGGGGTAAGATAACTGGCCACTTGTGCCTTAGAAACCCTTTGGTTCCCCTGTTGGTTTTTATAAACCCAATTATTGTCGTTCCTTGAGCTTGAGTGGTCTTGCAATTGTGCACGCAGGTGAAGAACACAATTACCTGTCCTTGACCAGACTGTCCTTGGGAGGTTATAGCTCTGCTATTGCCCTCTGTATAGCATTTATTTTCATATATTTTTTTAAAAAAATTTAAGAGATTTATTTATATATACAAGCACTGGGGTACAGGCCAGAGGTGTGAGAGGGTGAGAGAATTCACCAGAGAAAGAACAGGGAGCAGAACAGGCAGAAGGACCGAAGTACACTGCTGATGAGAGCAGCAGGCGAGACAGGAGAGGTCTGCCTCGTCATGTGGGAATCTTCCTGGCCAGCCGGGAATCAAACCGGCCCGCAAGGCTGCGGACAGCTCAATAGCTCTGCGCTCAACCCGCTGTGTCACCAGGGAGGCCCTATATACCATGCTTTCACAAGCAGGCATTGTGCAGGATTGAGTCCCAGTTAAAATTGGGTTAAAAATTGCACATTGGTACCTTATAGAAGTAAATATTCTCTTCTGGAACTAACATACCAAAGATTAGATTTTTAAAATTTTCACAGAAAAGGGTAAAAAAAAAAAGTAAGCACTTAGATAAGAACAGGAAAACATCTACGAACACCAAGTATCAAGTATGAGCCTGTAGGTATAATATTCTCCAAAGACTTCAAGGAAAGGTGAAAATAGTAAATAATAAGGAAGCTCTGATCTGTGGTGGCGTTTGCTTTCAGTAACGGAATGATTATAAATAAATGAGGGCATTTCTATAAAGTTAAATATTATCTAGATTTGCATTTTTTTTCTTTCTATAAAGTTAGATCAAATTGAATGCTACAATCCTTATACGTGGTTAATGCAGTCTCCATTGAAAGGTCTAGCAAAGATAAAGAAAAATGTGGGAATCCTCTCCCATGTGAAATTTTCATTACTTTGAAAATTTAAGGCTATCCCTTTGGAGATAAATCAACTAAAACTCTACAGCTGTAGGACATTGTAGTTTCAGTTCAGGATCAAGGCTTTGAGTTGATACTATCTTTGTTGGGAAGGGAACCTGAAGGAGGTTTTTACAGAATAATGTATTAAATTTGTGTATCTCCAGTCCCACCTTCTAGCTAGATAATGGCTGGAGAACTTTATAATATGTCAAGCAAAAAAAAAAAAAAAAAAAGATATAATTGTCATCAATAGTATATAGTTAACATTAAAAATTTTTCTTCCAAGGGCTGTAACCCTCTCAAAACACTGAAAAGTGGGACTGGGGAGGGATTTTAGGAGACACTCTTTGTGTTCTGTGCAACCCCCTCCCATGAGGTCGTGCCGCTACCTCCTCGTTTCTGCAAGTGCTACTTGCTAATATAGGAAGCCTATTGCTTCCCCTGACACTTACCAAAGACTAAGATAAATCTCTTCATCTGGAAATGCCTAGGAAGTTAATCCTCCCACAAGGGGTAAAAACCATGAATGGCTGCATAAGTTGGAATCTCTAAAGGTTGACCACTTGCCTCAGGTGTAACAGTTCTGTGGTGATACTTATTTTCCAGAGCTCCCTGTGGACTTTAATTGGAGCCCTATCTCTACTGGTCTTTTCTTAGCTGTTGTCTTCACCCCTTTCTAGGTTTCACCTGAGAATCTTCCCTCAATAAGCCACTTGCACAAGAATCACCATCTCAGACTCCGAATCCAGGAAACACAAGGTAAGAAAAAAATACTTTGTGGAATTGTTGAGGATAATTTGTTATGACAAATGGTACAATTTGGGAACTAGTCCATAACATCCAGCATATAGTTTTGCTTCTCCTCCTTATGAGATACTCACTTTTGCTAAGTAGACATAATATGTCATGAGTGTATGTGTTTATAAAATCCATATGTGCATGGGTTTGCACATATGTGTGATGTGTTCAACTTTTTATGAATATTCTAAAAGAATATCCAGCATATTTATACATCTCCAGGCCATATTATTTACTTTCTGCTAAATAGAATATACCTCTGAAATCTTTATGGGGAAAACTCAGTAACAGGTGTGTATGTGTTGTGTGCATGTGCACACAATTTCCAGCTAAAAGCAGTTCTTAGAGAAAAGATATCCTGGGATGTTTCAGTATGTCATTACTTTTGTCAAATATGTCTGGTTGGTTTCAAGCTCATCTTTAGCATTACCTTGGGTTCTAGAAAAGCAGCTGGTATGGTAGAAAAACAAAACATCTGGGGCCCAGGAGTTGGGTTTATGTATCTAAGAGGACTTACATTCTAACTGGCTAGCCTTTTATGCATCCATCCATTCAATAAGTATTCCTGAACATTTCATATATGTACAGCCAAAGAGTATTAAAGATGAAAAAGTTTTATGTTTTAAAGGCCCTGTAAGTAGAATTGAAAGTTAAAAAACTAAATATACTACAAAGTGTCATCTGCTACAGTCATAAGGAAGACATAAGTACTTCAGAACAAAGAAAAAAAATTAGAAGTTTGTTCAAAAGCAAGTGGTTCTTAATTTTTCCATGCCCAGGATAATCAGAAATGAGGAAATCTATTACTTAAAAGAATAATTTAATGTAGACTATAAGGAATTCATAAAATCACACACAAAAAATAAAATAGTAGATTATTTGCTAGAAAACATAGAAAGGTAACTCTTGAGGGCAGGGAGGCCCAACTTCATTCAGTTAGAAGGAAATTGAATGGAGCATGGAGAATCTGGAGCTATCTTTATAGGCCATCATTTCTGTATCTTATGGTACTTTGAAGCAGTCATGTCAGTTGTAGAACAAATGCTGTCAGGATTCTGTTCAATTTCATTGCAAAGTTTTCAAAATGAATTTTTGACTAGACCTGAAAGTGTTTAATAATGTTCATTTAATCTTCTACTGTTCTTGTCTTGGGACTAAATGTCTAGGATTCAAAGACAAAGACTTCAACTTGGCAAAAGTCTAATTTTTCAACCCATTATAAGTGAAAGTAGGTTATCTGGTTGAGTACTTTTTCCTAGACAGTCTTAGAAATGTTTTCCAATTGTGTACAAGTAATATGAACATTGTATTTATGGTGACTGCAAATGAGATGCTAACCTCAAAATATATTTATTTACATAAGTAAAATGCTGCATAGAATTTCCAAGTGACTAGCTCTTGTCTTTTTAACTGATTATACCTTTTTGATCTATCAATCATTAAAATATATAATACATCTAAAGAGGGTGTTATATTAGTAGTAATTAACCTTATTTTGGCAGTTCTGTCATTTTGTTAATTAGGGGTCTATGTAGTTAGATGTGTTAAAGATTAAAACTCATATAGCCCTGGTGAATTGAAAAGTTTATAGTTATATGTTGAATTTCTTTAAAGCAAGAAAGTTTTAGGTTTTTAAATATATTTTAAAACTAGCATGGCAATAACATTTATTTTGCCTAATATATTTCCAGTATATTACGTATTTTGCTTTAAACCTTCAACTTTGTATTTAACTGTGCCATTTGTATACAGTCTCATTTAGCAGTTTTATTCAACTCTTTGTCTTTTCCTTCATGAAGATTCCATTTGTGTATGCCATGCACCTGGGGACATTATTCAGGGCCACTTTATACTAAATTCTCAGCTTGAGGTGTTTTGGATCATACAGGTAATAGGAATTTTTTCTGCCAATCATCCAGTGGCTAGATTTGGGTAACAAATTCTCAGAATTAAGTTAACCTGTTTATTCAGCACAAAAATTTGTAACTGGAAATAATTCTGGCATTTCCATTGCAAAGTTGAATAAATCTTAAGTATTTTCACACTGAGATTTCTGAAATGATTGTTTCATAGTTATATAGAGCACTAGGTGATGATAAACATAAGGAGGAAGATGCTGCATAATTATCAAGATGCAGAGTAACATTATGCTAGTGGAATTAAAATTTATTTTCAAATATTAATTGAGGCCATAGTAAGTTTCTGTTTAATAAACACAATGCCAAACCTTCAACAGGCTTTCTGTCCAGAGATCACTTGTCTCATTAATTAAAATAAGACAGATATAGATAAAAAAAAATAGATATATTCTTCCCAAACCCCTCCAACACCCTACTGTCCAGAGAATTTTTTACTCAATTCAACATAGGCTTACTGTTTTTAGTATCCCTGGAGTATCTCTATCCAAAAACACATTTCCCTAATACCAATTCTGAAGCTTCAAGTTGTATTCAAATTAGTCCATATGTACAAACTCACTTGGAAGTCAACATTCTCAAACTTGTGTTCATGTTTTTCCTCTCTAAGTTTATTCCACCATCATCACATGGCTCTACAATACAGAGTCACAACTGGAATGTTTAAATGTATATTTTATAAGTTACTATATGCAGTAAATGTTCAGAGAGGAGAGGGGAGAAACCTAACAATACAGAGTCTCATCAATGTTCTTGTCTCGTGGTACTTTTTTCACTTCTATAATTTTCTACTGTCCTTTTAATCTCAGAATTACAAAGAATATTAATGTCCATGTGATATAAGCCTTCATCAAATGTCAAAAGTAATCTGAACTATCCTAAGTACATGGGAATGCCTGTAATCTATTCCTAGTACTTCCTCTAGTATGCAACTCATTTAATCAGGAGACAGTTACTTACATTGCTGGCTATCTGTAATTGAAAGAATGATTTTTCTCCCCCTCCCCATCTTGATTATAAACAGATATCCTGAAATTTCACCAAGATAAGTTAAATTTAACTCAACTTTTTGTTACCATCTAAAGCAAGAATATGATTTCTATAAGACAACCCAGCTATTCAACAACAAAGATGAGATCAATGTTTTTTTGGATCAAATACAAGTTGTCATCCAAGATTTGTCCCACAATTGGGACAATAGACCCAATGTATGGATTGAATGATCAGCCATTGGTGGGTATCACTCCTGGCTGCATATTTTGATTATTTAGGAGTCACTGGAAAATACCCATCTTTGGATCATACTACATGCAAATTATCTCAGGATCTGTGGGCATAGAGACTAGGGGAGAGTCATCTACTGTTTCTTTAGGTGATTATAATATGTGATAACATCTGAAATCCACATTTTTTGAAAACCTTCAGTTTCCGTAATAGTCCCCAAGAACTTACTAATCTAAGAGCCTTGTCATAATTCTAGTCAACACTAATTTTCCCCTAGAGATAAACTTAAAATTGATTTTTTTTAAATCAGAAAGGATCTTCTTTATTTGAAAATAGTGAAATACTTTAACAGCATATTGTGCTTTCACAATACAGGTATTTTTTCTGCTAGCAGTTGCTTTCATCCATCAGATCAGAAACTTTCTGATCTCTAGTTCCACAAGAGATAATAAACATTTATTATCAATTATTTTTCTAATTAGCATTATGTCAAATCTATGTGTTCATCTTCAGAAATCTTGCAATGTCATGTTCTCTCTCTCTCTCTCTCCATAAGATTAATGTTATAAAGCATGCAACTATATGTTCTTGTTTCTCTCTTAACTATTGTCTTCAGCCTTTACTACTACCCACCCAATTCATAGAGAAATTGAATATTTAACTTAAGAGGTAATCATACTCCTCTGAAAAGTTGGTGTTATGGTGTTATACTTTAAAGGAACTGGAGCCAGAGACCAAGTTCATCTACTTCTTACCAACACTAGTTATGGTCAGGATTTCTAATTTTAGTGATACAATGTGTGTCTAGTGCTATCTGGTGATTTTAACTTGCATTCCCCTAATAACATGATTTTGAGTGGTTTTTAATATCTTAATTTTTAATCCTCTATTGGAAATATTTGCCAAAGTATTCTTTTAGTTTGGTCTTATCTTTTCTATAGCTCTTCCAGAGAAAAAGTTCTTAATTTTAGTGAATTCTAATTGCTCATTTATTCTTTTAGTGGTTATTACTTTTGGTATATAAGAAATATTTGCTAAATTTAAAGACTTTTACTATGTTGTTTCATTTTGCATTTTTAAAATTTTAGGTTGCTTACTGATTATATGTACCATTTTCAGTTTATTTTTGGGAGTTCTTTTTTTTTTTAAATATGGATAACCAATCGCTGCAGCAATATTGATTTAAAGCATTATTCCTTTTCCACTGAGCTGTTTTAGTACATTCCTTGGAGATCAGTCATGTATATATGTAGAAATTTATGGAATTTCTCTTGTATTACAGTAATCCATTTTTATGCCAATATTTTCATGTGTTGATTAGTGTGGTTTTTTTTTTTTTTTTTTTAATTTTTTTTTTTTATAGAGGCATGCTTTATTTATTTGTTTGCTGGTTTTTTGTTTGTTTGTTTTGTTTATACATGCACTGGGTACAGTCAGAAGCGCGGGAGGGTGAGAGAATTCACCAGAGCCAGAGCGGGGAGCAGAGCAGGCAGAAGGACCGAAGTACACTGCTGAGGGGAGCAGCGGGCGGCAGGAGAGGTCTGCGCGCCATGTGGGACCCTCCTCCGGTGGCCGGGGAGCAGCCGGGGATCGAACCGGCGCTGCAGAGGCCGCGGGCAGCTTCGCAACCCAGCGCTCAACCGCTGCGCCACCGGGGAGGCCCGATTAGTGTGGTTTTATGATGAATTTTGAAGTCAAGGTCATATTATCCTCCAACTTTATCAAAGTTGTTTTGTCTATTCTTAGTGCTTAGCCATTCCAAATGAATTTTAGAGTAGATTTGTCAATTTCTACATTATAGAAAACACTTGCTAGGATTTT